TAGGTACCGTGTTGGCGGGAAGGTAATGGTGCTCCATGCAGTCATGCCGGCCACATGACCTTGGAGCCATCTCTTTGGCTTAGAAATGGAGATGAGCACCACCCCAGAGTTGGACACAACTAGACTTAATGTCAAGGGAAAACCTTTACCTTTTTTTTTTAATGTATTAGGGCTGTGCAAAACTACCATTAGTCCTTTTAGGTTGTTAGTAATTTGTTAGATTCATGCAAACAAATTGCTATTAAGAAACATGCAAGAAAGGGGGAGAAAAATTTAGGAATCAAAACACTCACCAATAATTTTCGTTAAGATTCTGTAACATTTGGAAGCCTCCCAAAGTCAGTTTAATTTTCAGTATAAGCTTTTAGCAACTTTGGCAAAGCCAAAGAGGCCATTGTTAGTGTTTCAATTAAGACCCAGGCTGCTTGGTGGTCACCATAAGGAAAAGCAGCTGGGGCTTTCTGATGCTGAGCACTGCATTCTGGGAAATGTAATTTGGGAAGACGAGGCCCCTTGTGGCAGAGAATTCAAAAGGCCCTGCCATAAACTACATTTCCCAGAATGCAGTGCTCAGCATCAGAAAGCCCCAATGAGGGCTGCAGAGTCAGTCTAATCTATATAAATAAAATGCAATGTTCATTTGTGGGATTGGTGCCCTGGTTATCTTGTGCATAGTACTGTATATAAAATTCAAATAGGTCTTATAGAATCATAGAATCAAAGAGTTGGATGAGACCTCATGGGCCATCCAGTCCAACCCCCTGCCAAGAAGCAGGAATATTGCATTCAAATCACCCTGACAGATGGCCATCCAGCCTCTGCTTAAAAGCTTCCAAAGAAGGAGCCTCCACCACACTCCGGGGCAGAGAGTTCCACTGCTGAACGGCTCTCACAGTCAGGAAGTTCTTCCTAATGCTCAGATGGAATCTCCTCTCTTGTAGTTTGAAGCCATTGTTCCGCGTCCTAGTCTCCAAGGAAGCAGAAAACAAGCTTGCTCCCTCCTCCCTGTGGCTTCCTCTCACATATTTATACATATCATATCTCCTCTCAGCCTTCTCTTCTTCAGGCTAAACATGCCCAGCTCCTTAAGCCGCTCCTCATAGGGCTTGTTCTCCAGACCCTTGATCATTTTAGTCGCCCTCCTCTGGACCTCTTGTAGTTTTTTTTTAAAATTGTTTGTAAAAAATTCAAAAATTCCTCAAAAATTAGTGGATGAGTGTAATACTCTGAAACTTGTTGAGATAACTGTGGAAAATGTTTGATACGATTATAGCAAGTTTCATCACAATAACTTTAAAAATGAGGGAGAAATGACCCCTGAAGTTTCCGCACTTGCTCAATTACTTAACAAAAAAAAGTAACGAAAAATTCATTACTTCGTTAGAGTTACAATTATTTTTAGGTCCACAATTTCAGAAACACCCTAAAAATGATTTGCCCCCCTCCCAAATTTTGTAATAAGTATTGAAACACTCAGTTCTTGTGGGTTTTTTCGGGCTATATGGCCATGTTCTAGAGGCATTTCTCCTGCCGTTTCGCCTGCATCTATGGCAAGCATCCTCAGAGGTGAGGTCTTGAAACATTTTTTTCATTGATTGCACAGGCCTAGTATGTATATATCTAACAGCCTTATCACACGGGGCAATTGAAGTGGGGTTGCCTTTGAAGACAGCTCAGAAGCTTCAACTAGTCCAACGCTCGGCAGCCATGATACTAACAGGAGCGGGACGCAGGGAGCATACAACCCCCCTGTTGCGCCAACTCCACTGGCTGCCGACTTGCTACCGGGCTCAATTCAAAGTGCTGGTGTTGACCTTTAAAGCCCTAAACGGTTCCGGCCCAAGCTACCTTTCTGACCGCATCTCGGCCTATGAACCCACCAGGACTTTGAGATCTTCCGGGGAGGCCCTGCTCTCGATCCCGCCAGCTTCACAAGCACGGCTGGCGGGGACGAGAGACAGGGCCTTCTCGGTGGTGGCTCCCCGGCTGTGGAACGCCCTTCCCACAGATATTAGATTAGCACCATCTCTAATGGTCTTCCGCAAAAAAGTAAAGACCTGGTTATTTGTGCAGGCGTTCGAATAATTAGTGCAAGACTGGTAATGACATAGGAATGGAACAATGGATGACGAATCTGGATCATGTTTTTAGTGACGAGACGCCAGTGAATGGTTATCGTAGTAATTGTGTATTAATTGTATTAGATTAGGCTGTTAACTGCTTTATATTGGTGTTGAATTCTGCTGTGTTCTGTGTCTTGTGAACCGCTGTGAGTCGCCTTCGGGCTGAGAACAGCGGTATAGAAGCAAAGTAAATAAATAAAAAATAAATAAATAAGTGTCCTAGGATGCTTCTGCCCCAGTTTGCCCATGGAGTCCCACGTGACTTCTGGTGGAGCTGCGTGGGCAAAGTGGGGCGGCAGCATGGTGAGAAGGAAAATATACATACCGATGCATCAAAAGGAATGGTGGTAATGGCCAAGACGTTGCCCAGAGCATCTGAGGTTTGGTTTAAGGGGACTGACCGAGCAGTTCCTCGATCAGAAACAGAGACGAGGCGGTTGACCCTAACTCCTTTGGCATCCCCCAGCATCTTCAAGGAAACAGCATAGTTTGATCCTAGAAAAGATGGTGGTATTTAGAACAAAAGTCATGACAAAGGTGGGATTCCAGGAGCTTTAGGTTGACAAATGATTCCTTTTCCTTTTTTAGTTTTTATTCAGGAATATAGAGATACAGAAACAGAGAAAGAAAACCAAAACAATATTAGGAACAAAGTTTTTCATGATATATAAAACTAAACTACTACAACAGCTAACATATGGTAACTATATCTCATGCAATCACCCTCACAAAAGCAAAACCACACTAAGAAACACATTCTTAACATACAAAAAGCCAGTGGGATTTTGGCATGCCTGAATAGGAGCCTAGTATCTAGATCCAGGGAAGTCATGCTCCCCCTCTATTCTGCCTTGGTCAGACCACACCTGGAATACTGTGTCCAATTCTTGGCATCACAATTGAAGGGAGATGTTGACAAGCTGAAATGTGTCCAGAGAAGGGCGACTAAAATGATCAAGGGTCTGGAGAAAAAGTCTGGAGGAGCAGCTTAAAGAGCTGGGCATGATTAGCCTGAAAAGAGAAGGCTGAGAGGAGACATGACGAGGGCCATGTATAAATATGTGAGGTTACATCATAGGGATGTTTGCAGCGTTGTGATGTAACACTCTGAATTTATTGTTGTTCCATGTTCAAGCAAATCAACATGAATAACACCATCTGCATCCCAGAACACTGTTGCCATGATTTTTCCACCTGAGGGCTGTGTCTTGAATTTCTGTTTCTGGGGTGAGTCTTTCTGTTAATATTCCATAAACTGATGCTTCGTCTCCGGGTTGTAATGGTGTACCCACGTTTCGTCTCCCGTCACAATTGAATGGAGAAAAGCATCACCATTTTCGTAACGCGAGACGAGTTCCTGGTAAATTTCAAGTCTGTGCGCTTTCATTTCAGGCATCAGCATCCTGGGTACCCATCATGCACAGATTTTCTGATAGCCAAGCAAAGCAATAATGGGACTCACACGTTCTTGCAAAATGCCGATTATGTTTCAAATTTCTCTCTGAGTGATACAATGATCATCCTGACTCAATCCGTCAACTTTTTGCTTGTGAAATTCAGTGGTTTCTGTCACAGGACGTCCAACTCTTTGTTAGTCACGCAAGTCAGATGTTCCCACCTCAACATCTTTAAACTTACTCATCCAACAATGTACAGTACTCACATCAACACAATCATCATAAACAGCTTGCATTCTCTGATGAATCTCCTTTAGGTGACACCTTCTGCTGTCAGGAATTCAATGGCTGCACGTTCCTTGAGTCGCATTGACCGACTGTCTGCGCAGGGCTCCATACTTTGCACTTTAGCAACACAACCATTCAATGCTAAGGCTTCCCGCCAAAATGGAACAGTAGAGGAGAGTCTACTGAACAAGCCAGTACATGCCGCATACCAGTACTGCCATCTGTTGAGGAGTTATGAAGGTGGAAGCATTACTTTTCATTCAACCCTCGTAGAACTGCCTGTATACATCTTTGAAAACCTATATGGTGTCAGGTACCACTTATAGAATCATAGAATCACAGAATCAAAGAGTTGGAAGAGACCTCATGGGCCATCCAGTCCAACCCCCTGCCAAGAAGCAGGAATATTGCATTCAAATCACCCCTGACAGATGGCCATCCAGCCTCTGTTTAAAAGCTTCCAAAGAAGGAGCCCCCACCACACTCCGGGGCAGAGAGTTCCACTGCTGAACGGCTCTCACAGTCAGGAAGTTCTTCCTCATGTTCAGATGGAATCTCCTCTCTTGTAGTTTGAAGCCATTGTTCTGCGTCCTAGTCTCCAAGGAAGCAGTAAACAAGCTTGCTCCCTCCTCCCTGTGGCTTCCTCTCACATATTTATACATGGCTATCATATCTTCCTCTCAGCCTTCTCTTCTTCAGGCTAAACATGCCCAGCTCCTTAAGCCGCTCCTCATAGGGCTTGTTCTCCAGACCCTTGATCATTTTAGTCGCCCTCCTCTGGACACATTCCAGCTTGTCAATATCTCTCTTGAATTGTGGTGCCCAGAATTGGACACAATATTCCAGGTGTGATTCCACTTATACATTGTTGTCTTTTAAATCATGACTCAATGTGAATTTCAAACTCTTTGTCCTTCACCTATTGTTCCAATTGGATTTCTGTGCCAAAGAAAGTAACTATTCCAAGTGAAGTATAGTAGAAACTCACTCCAGAACCTTTACCTTTAACAGGTCGTCCCTGGATTGGGAGCATATAGTCTCTCTGCTTCTGAAAAATCTGGTAGGAGAAGTCAAGCAAGCTCTTGCCTCCGATTTCCACCTCATAGGAACTGCTGGGAGAGACTGTCACAGTCCATGAACCCCTCTCTTGAATAGGGGACACCTTCACAATCTTGTGGTTGGTAGTGTCAATCAGGGTCTTAGTATTCCTTGCTGTAGCACCTGGCACAGGATGACACAAAACCAAATGAGTTGCACCAACTTCAATGGGCATTAAGGCTCTAAGAATGCATCCTGGTGTTGCAAACCCATATTGCTTACAGCAAGAGCTCAACAACATTGCCACTCTCCTCACTGCACCAATTGCATCTCCTTTGAGGAAACTTAACGATTTTTTATTTTAATGTATTGTCGAAGGCTTTCGTGGCTGGAATCACTGGGTTGTTGTAGGCATTCTCTCCTGATGTTTCCCCTGCATCTGTGGCAAGCATCCTCAGACGTTGTGAGGTCAGTTTGGTTATTTGAGGTGCTGATTCAGAAAATCACATTATATGGAACACATCACCTCTAGTTTCTGATACAGAACATATGCCATCCAGTAGTTGCTATCTGCTTGCCCACAGAAAACCATATTTAATAAGCCTTGGCACTATAAGAGGGTTTCGTGAGACCAGTCTCTTTTGTTCCAACAGTGTAGTTATGGTGAGACCGTGAACCATATTTTAGTTCTTGCAGACCACTGGTGGTCCACGGACCATAAGTTGGGAACTGCTGGTATATACTGATAGCAGCCATGCTGTATAGTTGTATATATAGCAAGAGCTCAAGTGCCTTATTAAAGCAGTGAGCGGCAAACAAGGTCAGAGGCTGTGCTATAAATCTCTGCTAACTACAGATAAAGACTTTGCAGTGTTTTGATTCGACTTAACTGCTTGCTTTGAGACATTCAGTCCCATGTGCAGCTCTGGGAGGACTTGAAAGGAGGGAATAATTCATGTACCTACCCAGCTGGGTGTTTGATCATTGATTTAACCCCACGACAAATCCACCCACTTGTTTTACCTGATGGTGTCAGTATGGTCATGCTGAACCTTCTAGAGTGCAAATTCTTGACTGAGATTGTGATTTCGGTGAGGGTCTCATCCACTGGGAAGGAGAACTGGGTCCCATCCAGACGATCCTGAGCCACCTTCACTGGGGCGGCATTCAAGGAGAGCTCCATGACCCCCAGGACCCTAGAAAGCTCCGGTTTGGTGGTCAGTACATAGAAGCCGCCTGAATAAGTAGCGATTTCTTCATAGATATTTGCGTAGCCTCTCTCAGATGCCCTAGTGATCCTTTTAGTGACGCCTGCAAAGATTAAATATAGATTGGCAAATGAAGACTGCTCCCATCATCTTCTGAGGTCCCACAAGAACATTTGAACAACATTGAATTGAATCAGCAGACACAGTTCTGAGGTGACGCACCATTATTATCCTGCTTTGTTAAGATACCTGAAAGTAAATTGACTTTAAAAAATACACACAGAGATTATTTAAATATTCTCATAAGGCTGTGTATGTAGGCTTTCATAATAATTTCCTCACTTATCCTTATCAAATTATGCACCAGGACTGTGGCACAGCTGGCTGGGAGTCAGCTGCATTAAGATCACTACTGACCAAAAGGTCAAGAGTTTGAAGCCAGCCCGGATTGGAGTGAGCTTCCAACCAATCTGTGTAGCTTGCTGTTGACCTTTGCTGCCCGAAAGACAACTTGACAGTTGCATCTGTTAAGTAGGAAATTTAGGTACTGCTTATGCGGGGAGGCTAATTTAGGACGCCATAAGAATGAGGAAGTACTTCATCATTATCACTAATGGACGGTGAACCGAGAGCTCCCCTGGTGGCCCGAACACCTCATGAAAAAGCTGGAATGTTAAATAGCCTCTGTGTGTCTGCCTATATATGTTGTGTGTCTATGGCATTGAATGTTTCCCATGTATATGTACATTGTAATCCGCCCCATGGCCAGAACAGAGCACAGCCACCAAGATGCTGAAGATAGGAAAGCCTACATATACCTCTATCTATGTACAGTTGTCTGTCTTGTTAGTGTATAACGGCATTGAATGTTTGCCAATATGTGTTCTGTGATCCATTCTGAGTCCCCTTCGGGTGAAAAGGGCAGAACGTAAATATTGTAAATAAATAAAAAAATGTTGTTGCTGTGTGCCTTCAAATACGTAGTTTTAGACGTATGGTGACTGTAAGGTGAGAGTGTCAAATTCATTTTCATTGAGGGCCACATTAACCTTATGGTTGAGTTCAAAGGGTAATGGAATTTATGGATAAAGTAGACCAACTATAATTTTTTTACATAGTAAATGGTGCTCTTGAGCTTTGACCCATTCGGCTCACCAGATGTTACTGAATGACAACTCCCATCACTTTTGATTAACTAGATTAGCTTAATACTGCCCTATAAATGAGAGACATCATTGATAGTCTTGTCTAAGTATTGCAGTTCCAGGGCCATGGCTTCCTTTTTTGAACCAACCCATCTGTAATGTGACTATTGTCCTTTCCATCTGACTTTGACTTGAACATGCATTAATGACTTTTCCAATGTCATGAGTATCCAAAATAGGATTGCTTCAGTGTAGCCATCTTAGGCCCCATCCACACTGCCATATAATCCAGTTTCTGAATGCAGATTATCTGTTTTAAACTGGATTATATGGCAGTGTAGTCCAGTGGTTCTCAACAAGTGGATCCCAAGATATTTTAGCCTTCAACTTCCAGAACTCCAACAGTTGGGAAACTGTTGTAGGCCAAAACATATGGAGACCCACAGGTTGAGAACCACTGGTGTAGACTTATATAATCCACTTTAAAGCAGATGGAGCCTTAGGTTGTGAGAATAAAGTCCAGGCGTGATGCATTGAGTTTTGGCAAGAAGGCTTCAATGTTGGATTCAAATTCCATCAAAACATTAGGGAGAAATTCCTGATGGCAAGAGTTGTTCAGCAGTGGGAAACTACCTGGGAGTACAGTAGACTTTCCTTCACTGAATGTTTTCAAACAGAGGCAGGGTGGCTATCTTTCAGGAATGTTTTGTTTATGAGTTCTTGCATGGCTACATTGTCCTTGGATTCTCTTGCAACTTTATGATTCTATTACTATTTGAAATTTTCCACCAGAAAGCTTTAGTGCCCCACCAAACTACAAATCCCAGGATTCCACATTGTACGACTATTTCATCCTTTCACCCCCCCCCCCACAACTTTCTTATCTTTTGCCAAGATTTCACGTACTTCGGCGTTTTCGTGTTGAGCAAGTCCCTGTGAGGAGATAGTTCACCTCCGATAGAGTAGAATCAATCTTGATCTTGACTTCCCTCTCCAGATGTTCATCTTTTGCTGCAGCATCAGTAAAACTGTAGATTTTAGAACTGGAGAAAGTGGAAAGATGGTTACGGTGGAGATTACAATAGAGTGTCATGCCTTGCAAGGAAGACAACAAAGGCAAAAAATGTGTTGGTAAGTGTTGTGGGGGTGAAGGGATGAGGTTGGATTTAGATTTTAATTTATTTTTCACTAGCCATCACCTGTCACACATTACTGTGGCCCAGTCTGTATATATGTGTTTTGTGTGTGTATATGTGTGTGTGTATACTTGTGTACATATGTGGTTTTGTACATATGCTGTAATGTATTTTTTTATTTTTTGGCTTTTTAAGTCTCTTCTGCTGTGTTTTTCAGTGTTTTTATGAGTGATGGTCACTTGTTGTCCTGATAGGTGTTTTGTGTCCAAATTTGGTGTCAATTCATCCAGTGGTTTTTGAGTTATGCTAATCCCACAAAAAATTACATTTTATTTATATAGATTAAAGAGCTCAATCACAGCTGCACCAAATATAATAGCAAAAAATAGTAGAAAAACAAAGACAGAAATATAGCTTAGAACAACACTACTAAAACAATTACTCCTAGTACAGGTTGCGTGTCCAAAAATCTGAAATGCTTGGGAGGAGAAGTAGTTTGGATTAGTGTATAAATACATAATGAGGCTGGATCTACACTGCTATATAATCCAGTTTCTGAAATCAGATTATCTGCTTTGAACTGGATTATGTGAGTCTACACTGCTATATGACTCAGTTCAAAGCAGGTAATATGGATTCAGAAATTGATTATATGGCAGTGTAGATTGGAGCTTTGTCCACGTAATTAAGATGGTCTGGCACCTAGTTGCTCTTTCGTGTCTCAACGGGTTAACCCTTATGCCGGCAGGACTGAAGATGGAAAGGTCAGAAGTTTAAATCCAGGGAGAGGCGGATGAGCTCCCTCAGTCAGCTTCAACTCCCAATGTGGGGACATGAGAGGAGCCTGCCTCAAGGACGGTAAAAATCAAAACATCTGGGTGTCCCCTGGGCAACATGCTTGCTGACGACCAATTCTCTCACACCAGAAGTGACATGCAATTTCTCAAGTCACTCCTGACACACACACACACACACACACACACACACACACACACACACACAGAAAGACCTAGTTGCTCAAGATGGTGGCTGTATGCTGATCTGTTTTAGTGAATCTGATCAACTCCATCTTAACAATAGCTGACGTGTCCCCATTGTTTGCTAAGCTCTGCCATTTGTGCTAGAAATACTATAACTGCAATATTATGTGCCAAGGGCCAGCAAACAGAAGTTGTGGCTACTTACAGTGGCTACTTACTTGAAGAACATCCTTTTAAACAACGAACAAGTTCTGGATGCAATCTGTGCAGGTTACAGAGACTACAGATGAGGATTACCATGAATGCATCAGATATTGATCATACTTCTCTGCAAAACTCTATAAAATTCTATGACATTCTGGTGCTTGGAATAAATCTACCTAGAATCACAGAGTTGGAAGAGACCTCATGGGCCATCCAGTCCAACCCCCTGCCAAGAAGCAGGAAAATGGCATTCAAAGCACCCCCAATGGATGGCCATCCAGTCTCTGTTTAACAGCCTCCAAAGAAGGGGCCTCCACCATACTCTGTGGCAGAGAGTTCCACTGCTGAACAGCTCTCACAGTTAGAAAGTTCTTCCTCATTTCAGGTGGAATTTCCTTGTGGATAGGTTGGACTGAAAGCAGCACAAAGCTCGATAAATCCTTTGGTTGAAGTTATTCTTGTCTCTTTGCCTTTTACTAAGTTTCAAATCCCATCTTAGTTTTGTGTCCCATTTGATTTAACTTGATTCATATTCCATCTCAGATGGTTCTAAGTAACTACAAAGAGCATTACCTTGGCAAACTCTCATCCAATGCCAACTTCAAACCACTTAATGACATTTCTGGGCAGTCACCACCACCCTCAACGTTGAGGTTGGATATATAGTTTTTTAACGCATTCACATTATGAGTTTTAAAGGCTGGACCATGATCTATAGGAAGAGAATCAAAGTCAATGTGAATTAGAGGTACAGATAGAATAGGTACTTTATTTCACCACAAATCAACCAATATGCCGTATGATGCAGTTTCGGGATGTAGATTGACTGTATTGAACTGGATAATAGGGGAGTCAAGCCCGTAGCCAATGGCCAACCCTAAGTAGTCTATTTTGAATGGGGTGGCACTAACCTGAAGGATTAGATACATAGTGAGAATGCACTTCTGTGGTGCATCTATACTGTGCACCAGGGGTTTGTTGTTGATTCGTTCAGTCACTTCCAACTCTTTGTGACCTCATGGACCAGCCCATGCCAGAGCTCCCTGTCGGCCGTCACCACCCCCAACTCCTTCAGAGTCAAGCCAGTCACTTCAAGAATACCATTCACTTCAAGGATAAACTCATTTTTCATCAAGGGGCACATCAGCCTTATGGTTGCCTTCAAAGGGTTGTTGAATCAATGGATGGAGCATCCGTGGGTACAGAGGGCCAATTAGAATGCTGGGAATTTCTACCCAACAGTGTTTGTGGCTCAGACATATCCACAAGCCTTGTATCTAAATTCAAATCTCAGAATAAACTCCAGCCTTCCAGATGTGTCTGTATCACAACTCCCATCAGTTCTAGTCATGATGGCTAATGATGAGGAATACAGGAGTTGTAGCCCAGCATCTGAAGGGTCACATAAAATAACATGAAGGGCTCTAGACATAACATGTGCAGTTTGATAACACGTGCAGTTTGATCTTTCTGAATGAAGCACAGAGTGTTTGAGGACCAGGACATCCATAGGGATACCAAGGTGTTTGTTTATAAAGCTATTGTCCTCCCAACCCTGCTATACACCTGAGAAAAGTGGACTATTTACATACGCCACTCCTGGAACAATTCCATCAGTGTTGTATCTGAAAAAAATCCTGCAAATCTCTTGGGAAGACAGGCAGACAAATGTCAGTGTGCTGGAAGAAGTAAAGAACACCAGCATTGAAAGCATGGTCCTTTGCCATCAACTTCGCTGGACCGGCCACGTTGTCCGAATACCTCATCACCGTCTCCCAAAGCAGTTGCTCTATTCCGAACTCAAGAATGGAAAATTGAATGTTGGAGGACAGGAAAAGAGATTTAAAGATGGACTCATAGCCAACTTTAAAAACTGTAGCATAGACATCAAGAACTGGGAAGCCTTGGCCCTTGAGTGCTCTAGCTGGAGGTCAGCTGTAACCAGCAGTGCTGTAGAATTTGAAGAGGCACGAATGGAGGGTGAAAGAGAGAAACATGCCAAGAAGAAGGCGCATCAAGCGAACCCTGACAGGGACCGCCTTCCATCTGCAAACCAATGTCCTCACTGTGGGAGAAGATGCAGGTCAAGAATAGGGCTCCACAGTCACCTACGGATCCACAAGAATACTGATCATGGAAGACTATCCTACTCATCCAACAAGGGATCGCTTAAGTAAGTCATAAATCTTGGCACTATAAAATAGTTTTGCGAGACTAGTTGCTCTCATTGCAATGGTGCAGGGAGAACATGCAGGTCAAGAATAGGGTTCCACAGCCACCTATGTACCCACCACAAGGACACCGCACTTGGAGGACAATCTTACTTGGACAACAAGGGATCTCCTAAGTAAGTTTGATAACATTTTAACTGCTGTGGCTCAGTCGTATGGAATCATGGGAGTTGAAGTTTGGTGAAGCACATGCACCCTTTGGTGGAGAAGGTGAAAGACTTCATAAAACCACAAATGCTGTGATTCCATAGCATTGGAAATGCTGACAAAGTCTCAGGAGCATTTTGGAATCAATACCAAAGAAGATGGTGTTATATTTTAATATCTTCATTCCTCAATCACAAAAAGTACATTACTTAAAAGGCATGAAAGAACACAGCCCAGAAAACTAGGGAATGCAGCAATTTGGTAGCAAAGCCAATTGGATTCTGTGTAATCACTGAATGCAATATCAGTCTGTTCTAACCTGGATCATTGAAGGGCACCACAATGTAGTTGAAGGGTGCGTCCGGCAAGGTGGAAAATTTCTGGATAATTTCGATGCTTTTTTCTTTGACCTGGGCAATATCGTCAGTCATGCTGCTCGTGGTGTCTATCACAAAGACGAGAGAGTAGCCTTCCAGGTTGAAAAACTTCCGGAAGATGTTTTCGTTCACCATGGTGAGGAGGCTGGCATCTGAACAAAGGTAAAAATCAGGTTAATATCCATACTTAGATCTTGGAAATAACTATACTTTCCACATTTTCTTAATGAGCCCATTTTTAACAGAGTTACATTTGCAGAAGGGAGAGAGAGTTTTAGTCCCAACAATATGGGGAGCGTAATGGAATGCTTATTACCCCCAAACTGTCTCCCATACCTAATAAACTGGATAACCAAGGTGACAGCCCCCTAGGTTGAAAATGCTGCTGTTGAATGACAGGTCAGTGAATGGAAAAACAACTGCCATCCAGGACTTGATGAGTATGCTGACCTTGTTTGTATCACAGAGACCTGGCTGGATGAGACTGGGTGGTGTGGTGGTGTGTGGGGGGGTTCATCTCAGCTCTGCCTATCAGGATTCTCCGTGCAGCAGCAGGCGAGGCCTGCGGGGTGGGGAGGTGGAGTTACAGTGGTCTATCATGATTCCATCCCTTGACCAGGTTCCCCATCCCACATTCAACAGTGTTGGAGTGTATTTACCTAAAGGTGGCTAACTGGGAATAGGAATTCAGTTTGTGTACTGCCCAACCCGCTGCTCAACAGTTTCCCTTCCTGAGCTAGCCAGGGTGGTCTTGGGGTTGGTGTTGGAGTCTCAGCAGCTAATAGTGCTGGGAGACTTCAACATCCCTGCTGAGGCTGCCCTGTCAGGAGTGTCTCGGGACTTAATGGGACAGACCCATGACAACCATGGGTCTGTCCCAAGTAGTGTCTTACCCTACCCATGCTCTTGGATACACTTTGGACCTTGTTTTCTGTGCAGGATGGGATGATGGTGATGGTGGTATGGGGGAACTTATTGAAGTTCTGATGTCATGGACCGATCATTACCTGATCAGGTTTAGACTTGCTGGGACTCCAAACCTCTGTAGGGGTGGGGGACCGATTAAGATGGTCTGCTGCAGAGGCTTATGAATACGAATGAATTCCTGACTGCTCTTGGGGAGTTTCTTGTCAACTCAGTATGTGATTCTGTCAAAACTTTGGCTGACCTCTGGAATGGGGAAATGGCCAGGGTGGTGGACACAATTGTTCCTGAATGTGCCCTTTCATGGAGCAGAGCCAAACCAACTCCTTAGTTTTCTGAGGAGTTGGCGGTGGTAAATCAAGTGAGATGGAAACTAGAGCAATGTTGGTAGAGAACTCAAAGCAAATCTGACCAAGCATGGGTTAGAGCATATTTGAAAGCCTACTCTGTGGCAATGGAGGCAGAGTATGGAGAAATCATTAATTGCTGCCATAATTGCATCTGCAAGGAACCATACAGCTGAGCTGTTTTGAGTGGTCAGAGGGCTACTACTAGGGATGTGGATTTTTTTTCATTAGTCCTTGTAAGTCATATCAAATTCGTTAAATTCGTACTTACGAGGCAATATCTGACATGTCGGTGAAGATATCTCATTATGTACACATGTATAAAAATACAAGTTTTCCAACATTAAAAAAAAACCCTACAGTATTCCAAATACCTCTGGTCACATTAGAAGAATTAGAACATCTTTGTTTTTCTCTAGCTCTGAATCCTGGGTTCACAAGCTGTAGACTTACCCCCTTCTACAAAGAAATTCTTTGTGGCTTGAATAGCTAGTTCGGCTGCTTTCTTGTGCAGGTCAGCATGAGGGGAGAGCTTGGGGTCAGAAGTCTCTTTATTGATGCCCCCAGTGGGATAAATGTCTTGAGTGGCATCATATTTCCCTCCATGCCCACATTTGCCTGTGGAAAAAGCAGAGACAGGAGAGAAGATGAAGCAATGTTCACTTTTCTAGATTGGACCAGCAGTTTGTCTGCCTAAAGGGCAAAGTACAAAGTATTGTTTTTGACCTTTAAAGCCCTACAGGGTTTGCCTGTGAAATTAAAAATAATTTCAATAAATATAAATGGACAGAATTCACCCAATAAATGATGTAAAGTTTGAAAACCTAACTGCTTTACAAGAAACCCATGTGAAGACATCAGATAGAAAATATTTGGTACAAAAAATGGGGAAAGAATTTACAACATTCAATAGAATTATGAAAAATAGACTATAAGAAATTTGGAGACCCCCCAAAAGAGACTTCTTCCTGAAAGAGTGCGTTTGCAGCATGGGAGCGCTCCTGGATCTGTCTCTTCAAATATCAGCCCAGGTAGATGTGATGGTCAGGAGTACTTACTACCAGCATTGCCTGAGATCCCAGCTGCACCCCTTCCTAGATTTGGAGAACCTAAAGATGGTCATGCATGTGCTGGTAAAACCTCAAGGTTGGACTTCTGCAATGTGGTTTACATTGGACTACCTCTGTACCAAATTTGGAAACTCCAATTAGTCCAAAACATAGCAGCCAAAACATACAATCTGCCCAAACACTGAAGTCTGTGGAATGACCTGCTGGAAGATCTCTGACAGCTAGATCAGGTGTCAGAATTTAAGACACCATTGAGGACCTATATCTTCTGGCAAGCCTGCCCAGTCAGTTTGAAGTTGTGAATTTTAATCTGCATTTCATAAGTACAGTTATCATCATCATCATCATCATCATCCTCTACATCCTGTTTTTAGAAAATAAGGATTAATGCATGGCAAGGGATCCTAGCAAGAGGAGTTGATCTCACCTTGTGGTTTAGTCTTGCAAGTTGCTGATATCTTGTACCCACTTACGAGCATGTCCTTCACGAGTATGTTGTCCACACATGTGTACACCCCACTATTAAATGGAGAAGTAGATTAATTAATCGCTTTGGAATGAACACACCCGAAAGTAAGAACTATACAATAAGCTACAATACCCACATTAACCTGTCGATAAGTCAACCCAGGTTTTTTGGGTGGAATTATTTTTGCCTAAAGTTTGTAGACTGATACATGAATAAGGGCCATTCCAGACAGGACAAAAATGTAAGAGGAACTGAAATTTTAAATCCCACTTTAAATCCCTATATTTGATTACTATACATTTAAGCTGAAATGATTTTGTTATATCGCTCTATTCCTATGCTACTATTAGTTCTATCCACCTTACTGATCAGCCTATCCTTTAATTCGTTTTGCATATTGGTCCGTTCCCCCCAAATGAGACTGGAAGTATCTAGGTTGTTGCTTATGATGCTTGTTTTATTGTTTATGATGATGTTATTCTTATGTTGTTTTTAAAAAATATTTTACTGTTTTGTTTTTAATATATGTTGCCTTGGGCATGGCCCCATGTAAGCCACCCCAAGTCCCTTTGGGGAGATGGAGGTGGGGTAGAAAAATAAAGTTCTCCTCCTCCTCCCTCCTCCTCCTCCTCCTCCTCCTTCTCCTCCTCCTCCTCATCCTCTCCTCCTTCCTCCTCCCTCCTCCTCATCCCCTGGGCAACGTTATTACAGATGGTCAATTCTCTCACACCAAAAGTGACTTGCACAACAAAACAACTTCTCCTTCTCCTTCTTTTCTTCTTCTTCTTCTTCTTCTTCTTCTTCTTCTTCTTCTTCTTCTTCTTCTTCTTCTTCTTCTTCTTCTTCTTCTTCTTGGAATTGAGGCCCTACAGCTGGCCTAAACCCTGTGTGTTTGCAGGGGTGGTGTCCAGATACTTACCCGTGCTGATCTCAGGTCAGCATAGGTGGCCACGGACACTGTCAGCCTCCCCTTCCTGCCCTCCATTCCCTCCTGCACTTACCAGAAGAAAGTTATGTTTGAGACCTGCAGGATTTCCCCTTCACCATCCCTTGGAATATCCGAAGGAGTACTTTGGGTAAAGGAAGGAGAATTTCTCCTCCAAGCACTCCTGTTGGCTGTTGGAGGGAGAGGGAAAAAGGCTGCAGGCCTGCATTGGAGGAAGGCTCCAGTAAGTTGAGAGTGAAATGGGAGGAGGGAGGGAGTCCAGACAGCGGGGAGGGAATCATAGAATCAAAGAGTTGGAAGAGACCTCATGGGCCATCCAGTCCAACCCCATTCTGCCAAGAAGCAGGAATATTGCATTCAAATCACCCCTGACAGATGGCCATCCAGCCTCTGTTTAAAAGCTTCCAAAGAAGGAGCCTCCACCACACTCCGGGGCAGAGAGTTCCACTCCTGAACGGCTCTCACAGTCAGGAAGTTCTTCCTCATGTTCAGATGGAATCTCCTCTCTTGTAGTTTGAAGCCATTGTTCCGCGTCCTAGTCTCCAAGGAAGCAGAAAACAAGCTTGCTCCCTCCTCCCTGTGGCTTCCTCTCACATATTTATACATGGCTATCATATCTCCTCTCAGCCTTCTCTTCTTCAGGCTAAACATGCCAAGCTCCTTAAGCCGCTCCTCATAGGGCTTGTTCTCCAGATCATTTTAGTCGCCCTCCTCTGGACACATTCCAGCTTGTTTTTTATGCTTGCAGCAATATACAGGCATGGAAAGGTGAGTATTTCTCAGGAGAAATCAGGAATAAAGGGCATCTTTTAAACATGTGTTTTCCAGCTGTTAACTCGATTTCTCCTGATTACTCCCACATTTTGGCTAAACGTCATTTAACCAACCCTCTTTTAACCCAACTTAACCTGTTTATAATGCAGGTGTAGAAGGGTCCTCAAATAATAATAATAATAATAATAATAATAATAATAATAATAATAATAACTTTATATATACCCCACCACCATCTCCCCAAGAGGACTCGGGGTGGCTTACATGAGGCCAAGCCCTACAATTCAGCAATGCAAATAAACAACATACAATGACAATAAAATATAAAAAATACAAGAAACAATATAAATAAGCACATCAAACAATGTAAAATCACGATAATTTAAACACAGAAAATAAATCACAGTGTGCAGGGCCAGTAGCAAGGATTAAAAAGTTTAAAACACTGGGTGAGAAGGCAATATAATGTATCTGGACAGGGGATCAAAGGGACGAAAGTAGGGTTTAATTGCACTAGTAGGTAAAAAATAAAGTGCTTCTGAGGGCTTTTTTTGCAGGGTTTGGTCAGGTCAGGGGTTATAGTACAGTTCATAATTCCTTGAAGGCACACTGGAACAGCCAAGTTTTCAAGCTTTTCCTAAAGACTGCCAGGGTGGGAGCTTGCCTATGCATGAAAAGAAAATTTTACCTTGGACAGTGCAGTCCCATTGCCCAACCCTGCCATCACCCACAAATACATGCCATTGCCCCTCTCTTTACCTGGCACTTTTGACGCAGTCTTTACATGTTTTTATAGAAGCAGGGGCAATGGTTACTTTATCATCACTGTCTTCATTGACTATAAAATACAAGAGTAAGACATGCATTTTAATTGAATTGTACATATATTAAACATTCAGATACCGTTCTTTGATACATTTCTTTGATACTTTTATATGTTTTTTCTTTGTTCTTTGATACAGGAGAGAATGCTTCTGGAACATGACCATACAGCCCAAAAGATTTACAACAGCCCAGTGATTCCGGCCATGAAAGCATTTGACAATACATTTCCTGTCTCCATTTTACAAACTAACATTCTAGTGGATGAACAAACATATTATGAAACAGGAGTAAACAATCTCCCTTTTATTCATCCATCTAGGTGATTTTTATACACTTCAATCATACCTTAGCTCATAATATTCACTTTTCATCTAAGCTAAAAAGCTACAAAAAGTACAATTCTTCCAAAGCTACAACCATTTTGGTCACCCTGTTCTGTATTATGGCACATAATACTGGTATAACGCATTTCATGAAGAAGATGTATTTCTGTAATTTACTTCTGTCAGATAATATTTGGTACCAGAGGCAGAAATAACATGGAAAGAACAGATATGTGTAAGGGTAATATTCCAAGGTATGACCATAGAATCTCATTGGAGGATCTAGAGATTCCCAGACATTAGTGATGAGGTCCCTGGTCTGAATACCTCCTAACAGTCTCCAAACATGCCAGAAATCATTCAGTCATGTGCTTACAAATAGCAGAAAGGATCTCCTTCTCCGCATACAATTGGGGAGTTGGGGAGTAGTAGGCAGGATCTACAACTGTGGCCAACATTTTTATAGCAGCCTCACAAGGATTGTTGTCCTTCCACAAAACAACTGATGAGACGTCCACAGAAAAACAAGTAAAACCCATTTGCCGATTTCTATATTCAACGCGACTTACTCAGAAATTCATAAATGTTTTCATTTCCCATTTCAACCCAATTGGTGTTGCTGTAGAACTTCTGGAGCACATGGAGGGCCTTCCCAGCATTTAGGCGAGCTGACTCCAAGCCTGCTAAGGTCACAGGCTCTACAAGACTCGCTAGCATGGCCTTCCTCAGGGATCGAAGCTGGTTTATACCTGAGAAGGAAAAGCAGTTCGGATTTTAATACCTTCTGGACTGAACCTCAACCAATGGCATTGTTCGCCATCCATGAGTCCGGTCTTAGAACAGGATAATTGCTGCAAAGTAATGGAAACAAGATCTTGGAGTCCTTGCGGACAGCAAGTTAAACATGAGCCAACAATGTGATGCGGTGGCAAAACAACAACAACAACAACAAAAATGGGATTTTGGCTTGCATCAATAGGAGTATAGTGTCTAGATCCAGGGAAGTCATGCTACCCCTCTATTCTGCCTTGGTTAGACCACACCTGGAATACTGTGTCCAATTCTGGGCACCACAATTGAAGAGAGATGTTGACAAGCTGGAATGTGACTAAAAGGCGACTAAAATGATCAAGAGTCTGGAGAACAAGCCCTATGAGGAGCGGCTTAAAGAGCTGGGCATGTTTAGCCTGAAGAAGAGAAGGCTGGGAGGAGGCATAATGAGGGCCATGGATAAATATGTGAGAGGAATTCATAGGGAGGAGGGAGCAATCTTATTTTCTGCTGCCCTGGAGACTAGGACATGGAACAATGGCTTCAAGCTACAGAAAAGGAGATTCCAACTGAACATTAGGAAGAACTTCCTAACTGTGAGAGCTGTTCAGCAGTGGAACTCTCCATGGGTCACAAGGGGTTTTTCAGAAGGGTCACCAAAGACCACCAGAAAACACATATTTCTGATGATCATAGGAACCCCTTTTGGCAGAAAAGGCTGATGATCTCTCTGCCTGTTCTTTGCTTGCTTTTTGGTGTTGGAGAACTATAACTCCCAAAATTCAAAAACAGCCCCCTTCCAACCCCACCAGTATTCAACATTGGCCATGTAGGTAGTGTGCCAAGTTTGGTGCAAATCCCTTGTGGACTGGGTTCAGAGTGCTCTTTGATTGTAGGTCAACTATATATCCTAGCAACTACAACTCCCAAATATCAAGTTCTATTTTTTCCAAACTCTACCAATGTTCACATCTGGACATATTGAGTATTCGTACCAAGTTTGGTCCGGACCCATCATTGTTTGAGTCCATTACTCTCTGGAGGTAGGTGAACTACAACTCCAAAACTCAAGGTGAATGCCCGCCAAACCCTTCCAGTATTTTCTGGATTCTGTGTTCCAAATTTGGTTCAATTCCATCATTGGTGGAGTTCAGAATGCTCTTTGATTGTAGGTGAACTATAAATCCTAGTAACTACAACTCCCAAATGACAAAATCAATTTCCCCTCCAATCCCACCAGTATTCAAATTTGGCTGTAGTGGGTATTTGTTCCAATTTTTTTCAAGTGAATGAAAATGCATCTTGCATATCAGATATTTACAGTACGATTCTTAACAGTAGCAAAATTATAGTTATGAAATAGCAACAAAAATAATTTTATGGTTGTGGGTCAGGACAACATGAGAAACTGTATTTAGGGGTCATGGCATTAGGAAGGTTGAGAAACACTGATGTAGAGGATTTTCAGATGGGCTTCGACTGTCTTAAGTCTTCCTCAGGTGGAAAAATATGAAGAGTACAATGAAATGGACATCAAGTTCTCCAAAATCATTGTATTCTCATACCTCACCATTATATGTCTGTGATTGATGTACTATGCTTGTAGTGGATTTATGTTGTTTGCAATTTTGGGAATCCATTGTCTTTTTAGTACACCATTAAAGTTTCCCATCCTGTTTTATTGTCCACCCCTGTGCAGGGCAATTTTATCCCATGGAAAGAAAGAGGTTTTAAACTGGTACATTGTCTCCTTTATCATAAAGGGTTTGGGACAGGGCAATTTAAATCCATGGAAAGAAGAGACAGATTTTGCTTTTTCCATCTACCTCCCAAGTACTGCTTCATATTCTATCGCACACACAAACAACACTCACACAAAATCCCTTCTTACTTTTGGCAATTTCTCCACAGTGGAAGAAGTAACTGCTGTCCTCCCCGTTATCGACCTCCACTTGGTTATTCCCTTTGACAATTTCCTCAAGGGCTTTGACAAACCGATCAGGAGACACATCAGCTGGGCAAAGAAAAGAGAGAGATGCAATTATGATTTTAACATCATCACACAAACATGAGCCAACAATGTGATGCGGCGGCTAAAAAAGCCAATGGGATTTTGGCCTGCATAAATAGGAATATAGTGTCTAGATCCAGGGAAGTCATGCTCCCGCTCTATTCTGCCTTGGTCAGACCACACCTGGAATCACGCTTTGTCCAATTCTGGGCATCACAATTGAAGGGAGATATTGACAAGTTGGAATGTGACTAAAAGGCGACTAAAATGGTCAAGGGTCTGGAGAACAAGTCCTATGAGGAGCGGCTTAAAGAGCTAGGCGTGTTTACCCTGAAGAAGAGAAGGCTAAGAGGAGACATGATGATAGCCATGTATAAATATGTGAGGGGAAGTCATAGGGAGAAGGGAGCAAGCTTGTTTTCTGCTGCCCTGGAGACTAGGACACAGAACAATGGCATTGGTTTCACCAGTTTGAACAGGTTCTTTAACGTTCAGTCAAACTTAGACCATATTCTTAGAGTACCAGGAGAGACTCAGAGCCAATTCCTTACTGGAGGAATGACAAATATTGTATTATCTAGTTCAAACTCTTGGTTTGTTGGGGGATTCAGGGAGCTGCAATCCAACAAATCAACATTTCTAAGCTTAATCTTGTTAAGTAAGGAATAATAATAATAATAACAATAATAATCTTTATTTCTGGACCACCCTCTCTCCCTGAAGGAACTCAGGGTGGTTTACACACAAAAAGGCAAACATTCAATGCCTCAAATGAGTACAACACATCAAAAATAATACGGGATAATGCACAGTAATAACAATAAACTTACAATGAAGAAATTAAGCATCAAAATAAAAAAAAATAAAACAGAAACAATCCAATAAGACATAATAACCTAAAACACAAGTAAACATTACAACACATAGCCTAAAAGCAATTAAGATACAATTATATTAAAAAGGCTAATATTGGTGTTCATTAGGTTAAAGTGTCCTAGTCCTTCTCCTCTCTATATGCTAAAGTGCATAGGTGAGTTTTCAGAAGTTTCTTAAAGGAGAGGAGGGTGAGGAGGAAAGACTTCATATCCCTTCTTCAGCCCCAACTCTATTACCTTCAAAATATGCTTTGAACAATTCCGTTGGGTTCTTATCATCCAGCTCTCCTGGGGCTTTGGGAGATTTTCCAGGAAGGGGAACTGTCTCCATGAACCAAGAAACAGCCTTTAGTATGCCTTTTTCGGTGATGTCGGCATCAGTGAAGTCACCTGGAGCAATGCCCCCTGATTCATGGTTGGGGCGAAATCCATTTACAGCACTCATCCAGAGGAGCAAAAGAATTGTTCTGGGAAACATCATACTTTCCTTGGGACTGCTGCAAAGATCAGGAGGTGGAGGGTAAACTGCTGTGATGAGATCTGCTTGCTTCCCAAATATATAGCTGAAGCAGAAGTGGGTCACTCGGCCAGCTAGTAAACATGTTGCCACATATTTGACTGGGCAGAGAATTCAGGGCAGCTTGCTTTGCAAACTCTGACCTTTCATTGAGCAGCATTGTAGGTAGGGAAAAAAACTCACAAAGTAAATGGTGGCATAAAATGAAAATACAGCCGATTCTCCACATTTGCAGCTTTCACTCTTGTGGATTTGATTTTATTCATGGATTTGGTTAGTATGTTCTCTCTAGAAATCTCTAGGTTCTCCAGTGTGGCTCTATAGCAGTGGTTATTAACCTGTTGGCCATGGACCACCAGTGGGCTGCGAGGACAGAAATCTGATCCATGAGCCTTCTTCCTCTTTATTTTATTTCCACTCTTTTTGCGCTGCCTGCCACTCCTTCCCTGTTGCTGACCAGGGTATCAGGGCATCTAGTTTCTGTATCAGAAACTAGAGCTGACATGGTCTATCTAATGCAACTTTTTCAATCAGCACCCCAAACCAAATCTAAAGTTGACTAAAACTGATTAGTAACCCTTTGGGTACTAATGTTAGAGAGTGGTCCTGGTCAAAGTGGTCCCTGGTCAAAGTGGTCCCTGGTCAAAAAAAAGTTGAGAACCACTGCTCTATAGTCAATCTCTGTCACAGGGTTTCACTAAAGGATGTGTTGCCTTGTCACATGCACTTCAGGAATTGGCCAGTCTTGCCGTGGATCATGGCGATCTTGACAGCACTTGCCCCAGGGTGCATGAGGACCTCTCACCCTGTTCCATTGTGGGTTCCCACCTGCCTCATCACATGGGAGGAAACCTCCTAAATTTCCTAATGGAAAGATGGGAAGCTTTCCAACAAGTGTTGGAAATGTGAGCAACAAACCGGTACTTTCTTTCATGCTTGGTGGACTTGCCCAAAAGCAGAAAAATTTTGGAAGGATAGAAATGAAGTCATACAGAAGATTTTAAAAATTAAAATTCAAAAAGAACCAGAATACTTTTTACTAGGAATGCTAGAGATAGAGGAAAATAAGAATAAAGAGTTATTGTTTTATTTTCTGACTACAGCAACAAGAATAGTATACACCAGGAATTGGAGACTTAAAGAGACGCCAAAAAGAGAAGAATGGCTGAACAAACCAAGGCTTACCAAAGTAAGAAACTAATTGGGAACCAGTAAGGAAGGACAATTATATGTTGTATGTGCCAGAGTGGGCAAATCAAACAATTTCTACATCAACACTGACAAAGAAATAGCAAGAAATACTGTTTATTCACAAGCATAAAGAAATTACATATATTAGAAACCAATACTTTCTTATTACTTTATTTTCAAGATCACCAGACTGGGCCACAGCATTTGGCAGGGAATGGCTAATAATAATTAATAATAATAATAATAATAATAATAATAATAATAATAATAATCTTTATTTATATTCCGCCCACTCACCTCAGAGGGGCTCTGGGTGGATTCCAAACATAAAAGGCAAGCATTCATTGTCCAAACACAACAACAATACACCCATAGTAATGAAATTGGTCAACCCAGCATATAAAAACAAATTATGACTTAACTACTAAAATTAAATAAAAAACGCAGCCTGTTATATCAGACATAAGACAAAACATCAAACATCGAACAGAAGCATCAATTTCCCAGTTCCTTGAGGGCAAATAGATTGATCATTGCTCGAGATATCTATTGAGCTGATGGGGCGAACAGGGTATGGATCAGGATGGTAGTTATTAATCTGAGGTATAATGGTAGTACTATATTACCAACTACTCTCCTCCTCCTCGTAAGCCAGTGAGCAAAGTTACGTCTTTAGCTGTTGGCACTGTGCTCTGTGTACAGGACTATTTTCCCTCCTGACCCTTGGCTTGTCTAGGTGTGATCTGAGCCAATCCAAACACATCTAGTTCTGAAGAACTCTCCTATTTCCAATGAAACCTTGACACTGGGACATCCAGATTGATTTTGCAACCTTTAGGACTGATGAATCCACCAGAAACTGGAAAATCAAACTTTATATGACAGTGGGGGAGGGGTGAATATCTCTACAGAGGGGATGGGTCCCTGATGGGAGCTACCCACCATAATCCTAGAGGAAATTACTTTACTTACTTACTTAGGCAATCACTCGTTGTCCATGTATGATAGCCTTCCAAGTGTAGGGTCTTGGCAGCGGATAAGTAGGTGACTGTAGAGCCCTATTCTTGACCCACATGTTCTTCCACAGTGAGGACATTGTTTCCATGTTTTTCTGTCACGCACTGGGCCTGTAATAATTGTCTTTTAAAATAGGGTGTGCACCTTGTGCCCAGTGGGAAGCCAGGGTGCCACGAAAGAGGCCCTCAAGGATTTTCCTGAAGAAATGGTCTTTAGATGGCTTGAAAGGTTAAACAAAGTCCTTTATTATTGTACAAATTAAACAGATATTTCTCAAATCTTCAATGAGTCAAACAAATGCTTCAAGGCTTTAAATCAACTGGTGGCTTCCTTAATCTTGTCCACAAGGGACAGGCAACTGTCTTCATTAATTGTTCTTATACTTTGAGAGGAAAACCCTTTTTTAACCTCTCCCAGGCTGTCTGTTATCTATGTTTTGTTGGTGTGGGATCTACTACCGATTCCAAACTGCATCTTGGTACCGAGGAAACCTACCAGAAAAAGCTTATAGATTCTCCAGCTGGAGTTCTTTGGGTCTGTAAAGCTGTTTTCCCTTTGGAATTTCTTTAAGACTTTAGGGCTGTTTCCCTCAGATGCTGTAAGGTTGAGAGGCTGCAAGCTCCCAGACAGAGCTATGGGAATTTCCCCCCAGAATGTCTGGAGAAATGAAGCTTTTCTGCAGTGAAGCTTGTCTACGTCCTCTAACTTAGCTTTCCTTACTAAGACTAACTAAAACGACCCCCCTTTCCATCTCCCTGGGAGTAGGGGCGGATCCAAACTTAACAATGATAGATAGGTGGCTTGCCCTATGATTGCAAACCAAAGGAAGCCACCTTTTTGCAGAATCCCTGAAACTTTGGAATGCATGCAAACACTTACTAGAAAGAAAATAAAGTTGGAGCTCCTGGTACAGACATACCAGCACATATGTAGAAGGCGCTTGAAACTCTCTGCCCCGGAGTGTGGTGGAGGCTCTTTCTTTGGAGGCTTTTAAGCAGAGGCTGAATGACCATCTTTTGGGGGTTCTTTGAATTCGGTTTTCCTGCTTCTTGGCAGTGGGTTGGACTGGATGGCCTATGAGATCTCTTCCAACTCTATGATTCTATCATTCTATGACTATTTCTTTACCTATTTTTGGTTCCATTTCCCCTATTACTTGGTCCACTCCATATTGCTCAGATTGTGGTAAGACTGAGGTAAAGAATGTGTTGAGCACTTCTGTCTTTTCCCTAACCCCTGTCAGTATCCCACTTCCTTCTCCACGCAGAGTCTCTACAATTTCCTTGTTCTTCCTTTGTCTACTGACATAACAAAAACAAAAACAAAAACAAAACCTTTTTATTGTTTTTGATCTCTCCGACAAGGCTGAGCTCATCTGGCACTTCAGCCTTACAAATCTTTTCCCTACGTATGTTGATTATTCGTATGGATTCCTCTTTGAAAATTTCCCTCCTTTTCTATTTCGTGTGCATATCTCCTTCAAAGCTTAGCTCAGTTAAAAGTTCTTTGGAAATCCATCCTGGTATCTTTACGCTTCTCATATTTTTTTTCTCTTTGCTGGCACTGTTTGCATTTGTGCCTTCAGTATCTAACTTTTAAGAAACTCCCATCAATCATTAACTCCCTTTTCTTTTCGTATTCCTGTCCATGGAATTACGCTCAGTATTTCCTTAAGTATAGTTTCCTCAATACAATTCTGTGCATTCTATGATAGGGCAACTACCCAATGATAGTCTTGCCTGGAAGCATCCTATTTTCTTCCCTTATTCTGATTTTCCTCCATCTTCTGGTTCCCTTGGCATAGCAGTCTCATTCTTTGTCCCACTAGGTCTTGTTTCTCAGTCTTTTAGTATATTTTTGTTTATTCTTAGTTTTTGTCTCCCTGAATCATTTTGCTTAGCCTTTGCCTTCTCAACTGGTTTGTAGCGATTCCAATTCAAACGCCTCTAGTTCCAAAGAAGTACTCTCATTGCATTAGATAGGCCTTGACTGGAACTTCGCAGTGGACTTTGCAACCTGTTAGTATTTTATGAGTGTATTCTCCTATTTTTGTCAATATTCCAATGAAATTTGAGTAAGAAGGTTGTTAACTTCAGGCTATTCTGGGTTAGCAAAGTATTAGGACAATTTCCTAGGTAAAACCTTAGTGACAAGTGGGGTCAAGTTGGCAAAGCCATTGACGAGGGAAGAAAAGTTAGGCTATGAGGGGCTGTAATATTTTACTTTTGCCTGAGACTAATGAGACTGCAAGGACCTAAATATCCCCAACACAACAGATTCTGATTTTGGAAACTAAGCAAAATCAAACCTAGCTGGTTCTTGGATGGGAAGCAACCGAGGAATAATGTATAGTCGAAGGCTTTCATGGCCAGAATCACTGGGTTATGTAGGTTTTTTGGACTGTATGGCCGTGTTCTAGAAGCATTCTCTCCTGACATTTCACCTGCATCTGTGGCAGGCATCCTCAGAAGTTTTGAGTTTGTGACCTCACAACCTCTGAGGATGCCTGCCATAGATGCAGGCGAAACATCAGGAGAGAATGCTTCTAGAACATGGCCATACAGCCTGAAAAACCTACAACAACCCAACCAAGGAATGCCTAATACTGGGAACTATGTTTCCGTGAGAGGAAGAGCAACCCACCTCTGAGCCTTACCTAAGAAAACCCAGTGAAATTCATAGGATCACTTCAAGTTAAGAGTCAGTTTGAAGGCACTCACAATCCAAGTTAATTCAGTGTGAACTGCCTTTGGATTTTGAAAAAATTAACTGCTTTGAACTGGATGATATGAGTCTACATGGCCATATAATACA